GTGAGACCATTAGTGTCTCGTTTGTAATCGTTTGGAATTATTTGGTTGATAGTGGATTTGGATTTCGATCCCGTGGACGTACCTCACATTGAGGGAACCACGTAAAATTCTTGTGTTGCCTTTGATTTAATTTTTCCGCATTAGTTTTTATTCCCATTGATTGATTTACTTGTGGAGAATCACATCGATTTTCCCTAACAAATTCTAGTTCGAAAAATTTGAGTGTTGTTTTCACTGAATATGTAAATAATGAAAAAATTACAAATTACGAATTCCCTTAGTTTCTTAGTTGATCTGAGGGACTACCTAACGGAATGGGTTAGAATAGGCTTCTCAGCTGCAACAGCAAGTTATTCTGAGAAACATATTATTAAATCGTAGTCATTCAATTCGAATGCACTAACTAGTCCCAGTTCCAATCCCAGTCTCAATCTCAATCCAAGTCTAATCAACAAAAAGCGACTAATAGTGGGATTGATGGTAGGATCATTTGGTTTGGTTTGTGGGTTGGCTTTGTTTGTGTTTGTCTTGTGGATGAAAAGGAAAAGGACAGATGAGGAGGTTGCGTTGGATAATGACTTCGAGGCAGCTATTGGGCCAAAGAAGTTTTCATATGGTGAGCTGTTTCGTGCTACAAATAACTTTGCGAAGGAACAGATACTTGGAGAGAGGGAGGATCTGGTAAGGTTTATAGAGGTATCTTAAAGGAATCCAACTCCAACGTTGCTGTGAAGAAGATATCAAGGAAATCAACACGGGGAATGAAGGAGTATGTGTCTGAAGTGAAGATCATTAGTCGGTTGAGGCACAAAAATTTGGTGGAACTATTTGGTTGGTGTCACGAGAAAAGAGAATTCCTACTTGTTTATGACTTCATGGAAAATGGAAGCTTAGATGGGCATCTCTTCAATAGAAAAAGCTTGTTGACATGGGCAATGAGGTACAGAATTGCTCAAGGCTTGGCCTCGGCATTGTTTTACCTACACGAAGAATGTGAACAATATGTGTTGCACAGGGATATAAAATCAAGTAATGTCATGCTAGATTCAAATTTCAATGCCAAACTTGGGGATTTTGGATTAGCTAGGCTTGTCGACCATGACAAAGCTTTTCACACAACACGTTGTGCAGGAACTTGGGGTTACATAGCACTTGAATACCGAGTTACACACAAAGCTAGTAAAGAATCAGATGTTTATAGTTTTGAAGTTGTGGTATTGAAGATAGCTTGTGGAAGAAAACCTGTCGACTTGAACGTCCCAGAAAGTCAAATGACATTAGTGGAGTGGGTTTGGGATCTCTATGTTACTAGTAGGCTTCTCGAAGCAGTAGATCCGAAGATATGTGCAGATTTTGTTTGAGAAGAAATGAAATGTTTGATGGTTGTTGGGCTCTGGTGTGCTCACCGCAATCACAATTCCCGGGTTACAATTAAGCAAGCAATTCAAATGCTTAATTTTGAAGCTCCATTGCCGAATCTCCCACCTGAGATGCTTGTGCCAACATACGTTACACCTCCGGTGAATACTCCTTCACCTAATGTTTCTTGTACCCATGGCTCTATTACTTTTTCTGAAAGCAGTCGATTCTAGTCTTCAAGCTATAGTTACCACGAGGAAGGGGGCTCCAGCTTCGGCCCCCTCTTTCCTCATTCTACTCCCATTTTCTTCTTCCATTTTCTTCGCCTTTCTACTTAAATAACCTTAAAAACTTTGTCTTTCCAACCATCTCCCTCTTTGTGAGGTGTTCTTCACCGGATTTGCCTTCTCCCTCCTCCTTCGCCTCACTCCAGCGCCGTCAGTACCTCACCGCCACTAAATCTGCCACCACTCTTTAGACATGCCATTTCCAAGCCTCCACGGCCCTACCATCGCTTCTCTAGCTCTTCATCATCTCTACCTAATCTGCCTTCGACCGTCGTTTTCACCACCTTCTTTCCATCGCCGCTTTTGGGATTGAAGATTTTTCCGATTTTGCTTTTTTTATTTTTTTGGCTTGGGTTCCATCAATGGTGTGATTGCAGCTTACTCTTTCTGTGAGTGTAGCCTATGTTTTTATCTTAGACTTGCCCTACTGTCAAACTTTTATGATCGATGTCTACTTCGCAGAGTGGGTTTTATGTCTTGATTTATTCATAGCTTCTCCTTGGGCTTTCTTTTGAGCATTTTTATTTTGTTTGGTGTAAACTTCTATCTTGTTGATATAGATCCCTTTATATGTGTCGTTTGACTTATTTCAATAGAAATTTCTCTTGATAAAAAAAAAAGAAACTATAAATGCCACACAAATTTCTCTAAATTCACCTCATTCTCTATAGCTGCATTAGCATTTTTCTTCTTGTAATGATTTGTGTTCCAGAAGGCTGTAGGTCATCAATTAATGAGTTCAAATATCAAAATGGTAGTAATTAGACTACAAAATTACATAAATGAGTTGCACACTTATTTCATTTACATTAACTAAAACGGTATTATTACCATTGCCATTTGTTAAGCTTCTAATTTCGATCAAAACAATAATGTGGCCCACTGTTTTGATAACATTTTAAAAGTTGAGAATTTTAATTAAAATAATTAAAAATATATGATTTAGTTTGTTAACAGAGTCAAATCTTAGATTTTTTTTTAATTTTTTTCTATATCTATAGACCGCCTAAACTCTTTTCGTGCGCCCCCCCCTTTCGGAGAGGGGGCAAATTGGTCGTACTACTACTACAGTTCGGACTCCCGTCACAGTTTTGAATCTAGTCTCACAAAGTGCAATGGAAGACTGATAAATCACCAAAGAGTCCAAATCTAGCAAATCGTTTTGGAAAATCTATTTTAATCAAAAAGTGCCAAACATGGACTACTTTGCCAGATTACAGAGTCGCCACCTAAATATTTTGTTTAGGAAAATTTAGGAAACCCCGACTCGTGCCAAAGGCCACGTGTCTGTCATCACCAAAGTTACCTCGGCTCAGGAACTTGGGTACGCGAGGGGAAGGTCTTGAAATGAGCACCCCCGCTCGCCCGATCAAAGATCGACTTCTACTAAACATGACACGCATAGCATATAAGTATAGACTCAATCGCAAGAATTAGAACAAAACAACTCATGTTTGTTTTTGAAAATGGTTTGAAAATGCCACCATCACGGTGGGCTAAAGCGCGGATTTGCCACCCTCAAGGTGGACTTTAAAACAACATGATTTCGCTACTTCGCAAAGTGGGTTTAAAACACACATTTGATGAATTGTCCCAATTCAAGCGATAAAGCCTTCATCCACAGGCATTCATGCAATTAAACACTTAAGCAAATAGCCTCATGGAAAGCATGTTGTCATGACAACATTCACACTCATGCAAGTATGCTAAAGCGTAAACACCTATGGTGTACTCCAAGCCAAAACAGAAAACCAGTTAGAAAGATGCATGATCCTAACTATGTTAGATGCCTAATGCAGCACATGCAAAATGCAACTGATAGGCTCGGCTATCTAAGACGGCATATAAATGCAACACTCGATAACATGCTTTGAAATACGTATTCAAATAGGTATTGAAATACGATGCAGTTTGAATGATGCGCCGAGCCCGGTGCACGTAAGACAAATGAATGATGCATGCATGCATAGTGTAGACGTCCCCGAACGCCCCGGGAGGGAATCCCATTTTGTTCATTTGGGCTTACTACAGTTCGGACTCAATGTCACAGTTCTTAATCTGATCCCGCAAAGTGCAATACGAGATTGATAAATCACCAAAGAGTCCAAATCCGGCAAATCGTTTTTGAAAATAGATTTTTTTGAAAGAGATGCCAAACATGGACTGCTTTGCCAGATACAGAGTCACCACCTAAATATTTTATTCTTGGGGAATTTAGGAAACCCTGACTCGTGCCTAAGGCCACGTGTCCATCATCACCAAAGTTGCCTCGGCTCGGGAATTTGGGTACGATTGGGGAAAGTCACTTCGTGAGCACCCCCGCTCGCCCGATCAAAGATCGGCCTCTACTAACCATGATATCGAGTTTTGAAAACATTATGTGCTCTTAATCTGGTTATTAGCCTAGATTTACTATGTGATGTGCACAACATACAAGTATTGACTGGATCACCTGAATTAGAACAAAACATCTCATGTTTGTTTTTTTGAAAATGGTTTGATGGTGCTACTCGTAAGTAGGCTAAGATGTGGATTTGCCACCCTCGGGTGGGCTTAGAAAAAATGATTTTGCCACTCTCAAGTGGGCTTAAAACTTGCATTTAATGAATTGTTCCAATCTAAATAACCCAACCTTCACCCACAGGCATTCAGGCAGTTATATCACATAAGCAATTAGCCTCATGGTAAGCATGCTATCATGGCAATCACTCACACACATGCAAGGATGCTAAAGCATAAACACTTACCGAGTACTCCAAGCCAAAACAAAAGCTATGTTAGAAATCCATTCATGATCCTAACTATACAGAAATGTCTAATGCAACACATGCGAAAATGCAACTACAATAGGCTCGGCTATTCTAAAATGGCATATGATGATGCTACAGCTAACATGTATTCAACTTGGAATTGAAATACAAATGCAGTTAGTATGATACGCCGAGCCCGGTGCATGCAAGACAGATGAATGAATGCAAACATGCTATCATACTGTATGCTAATTGAAACATGCCCTAATCTAACCATCATAAGCTGGTAAATAAAAGGGAGAAAGACGTGGGGTTGGAAGACATACATCACACGCACGCACACTTATTACAATTGTGCCCTCGCTCGGAGGGTCCGAACAAATAATACAGTCCGAATAAATAATTACAGTCCGAATGAATAATTAAATATTACAAAGCCCTAATTAATTAACAAATTAACTAGGAACGCAAATAAAATAGTATGCAAATGCATGGACCACCTCAGTTCTGTTCCGAATAATGAAAGATGCATGCTCAAGTTGCCTTGCGCGGAAATCTATTGTGATGCCCCGATTCGCCTCTGTTTACAATTAATCTCGGAATGCTATGCGAAGCTCTAGAAGGCTGCTGATTTCTGATTTGCTGCAACAGAGAGCGAGAAAGGGGCACGGCAAAGTATTTTCACATATGTATGCACACCTCGATCCTCGTGCCACCAATCACGCATCTCGATGCATGATGGCCGAGGAGTCGAATTGCACGACTCAATGTAAAATGAATGCACATGGAAACATAACAAGGCCTAAACTCCATCATGGGTAATCCGGAGTGTCGGCGATCGGGAATTGAGACACGTTCCGAAACGTCCCTCGTTTCCCGTGCTCGGGCTAACTCCTATCCCAAACACAATGCAAATGAGATGGCATACACAATGCGACTAACATATAACCTAGCATACGCAATGCTATGAAATGGCATACACAATGCTCTAACATGCAACCTAGCATACGCAATGCTATGAAATGGCATACACCATGCACGATGGACTTACACCAACATGAGTGGACCTCAGCCACGCTCACATAAGTGGCCATTAGGATGGAAATGAGACAACCGAAACACATGCAAACTTGCACGGATACAAAGGACCGACCCTAAGGCATAACATACCACTCTACCAAAGGATGGCAAGGGATGCAATATGGCATAGAATAGCATAAATTACAGCTCTGAAACAGCATGCAATATGGTCCCGAAACATGCAAATATATCACACAATGCAAGCTAGGGGGCCCGGGTACCGAAACTAGTGAAGTGCGTTACACTAGAGGTACCCAAAGCAATGTACCAAAGGCAAAACCAACCCCAAACAGACCCTAGGCAGGTCTGAAACTGTGGGGAAATGGCCTAAAATGGTGGCTCAACATGCAAGAAAATGGAGCTCATTCAATGGTCCGAAAACAAGGCATTCAAGCCCGACTCTCAAGTACACTTAAAGAGATGAAAACATGGCAATATGACATTCATATAGGCTCTGAAATGTGATGTAAAATGGCCTCAAAACATGAACACACCTCAGCACATGCATGCAATGGACCTCAAATCTCAAAGTTAAGCATGGGTATTGAACTACAAGCATGCAAAACAAACATTATTCAATCATGAGACCCAAAAATAGAGCTAGAGCAGTCCAAAATAAGCACAATATCAGTTTATGACATGGCCAAAAAGTGCTAAAATCAAGGGCCCACAAAGCATGCAAAGAAAGCTAGTGAACCATAAGTTGTTCTATAACTATATGAAGCATATGAAAGATCATTAAACCAGCCAAAAATAGATGTATTCCATGCCAAAATATGCCCAAATAACCACTAAAACTTAGTCAATGCATGCAAAAAAGATGAGCTCCTTTGGAAGGCCATGCAAGGGGTTACTCTACACCTATATGATGGACGCATAAAAGGT